TATTAGAATTTTTAATGCACCCCTGTAATAATAGTGAGGTCTGAAAATTTAGTGTAGCAGTGGAGCAATCAATTGTTATATTATTTGTCATTTTTATGTCTTGTTGTTTTATTTAACTGACCAGAAACAGTCATATCTTTATAACCTTAATATAAACTATAATGCATATATACTTTTACCGCTTTCATTGTTCTTTTCGATTGAAAACGATTATAATAAACAATTATTGGTTTGTAGTATAAGTCTTAATGAATTAAATATGTTTCGTTTACTACAAAACCTAGACAAATACCTTCCCTATATCAATCCATCAAATTCTCTCCTGTTATTTTATAAAGATGTATTACTTTCGTAATAAAGAATTGCAAATTTAAAACGTGTACTTCAGGTAATTATTTGGAGTAGGGTCCTCAACGCCGATTTCAATGAGCTTGAAATATGTTGTCAACGTTATAATTTTGAACATCTTTTTCCTATATATGTTACCATATTTCCAAGATATTCACGAGAATACATTTCACACATAGTACGGTGATTTCTCTCCGACTGTCGTCGGGTCCGAATTGTAAGCAGTCCTAGAATCGAAATCGTGTTTCTTCGAGTCTCGCAGCTCGTCTTTATAGTAGACGACACCTCGTGAAAGAGAGAGTGTCGGTGTACAGTACTATGAATACATTATGACGCTAGAATAAAAACGATGACTTCACTTTTTTATTTCTAATTTTTTACACATGAAAATGTTTTAAATATATTGGTCAGATTTTTCCAATTAAAATGATACCAACCACGACATGCTTTAGACCATACTTATTCATTATACGTAATAAGTAACTTATTTTATTTGCGAAAAAGCACTAGAAAAACTGATTTTTAACATGTGAAATATTAAAGGCAAGGTCGAAGAAGGTATGTACATATGTTTTTCGAAAGAAAATATCACTGAAGTTATGTTATTCGAGTCTACGTTCGATGACAGAATGAGGTCTGATGGCGGCATAGGAGAAGTCCGCGGGTAAGAGACGTCGGCATGGAAGTGTTTATGAGTAAGAGATGTCGTCAAAGAAAAAGTTCGACTACATTTTGAAGACGAGTCTACGCGTAGAGGGTGTGTGAAGGGACAGTCTTCTGTAGATTTTCCATAAATCCTGGAATTTTAAGAGGTCGAACATCGAGAAAGAACACGACAGGTCCTCGAAATACAACGTCAATAGCGCAACGAATAATGCAGATGTGGCGACGAAGGACAAGGGCTGGAACTGAAGCCACGTTTTCCTGTAAGGATAAAAGTCAACTCGTCACTCTTGTTCAAATCGTTTTTACGGCATAACAATGGCAATGTACTATAAATTCTCCCTAATCAACGCTCAGATTCTGCAGAAAATGTACAATCCGTGCGTAAATTAGAGAGCATTTACTGTATTCATAAAGCAATTAAACTATTATTAAAGTAATTTGTCTTGATGATTGTATACAGCAAAATTCCATGAAAACATGAGACAATAGCCTATAGAAAACAGGTAAAATGTCAGGTAAAGTCACGTGGCCAACCGCGGTCTGCCGACGCGACGCACAGGTTCGAAGATTTAGTGACTTTTCTCATATTGATGCCCAGTCAATTTTTATTGCTTATTAAATGCCCATTACCCTCGAAAATGAAAATGTTAATAAAAATGATCATAAATTCTAGTAAATACGACAATTTAAAGTTGAACATTTTGAATATTATATTTGACGCCAAAAAAATATGCTTCTTTTCCTCGCAATGTCCTGACGAACCTAATTAATTTTTTTCTTTGCTCCTTTTTTACATTAGGAGGCAATATTTATCGTTAATAAACAGTAGTTTAAATTAAGATTATTGTATCTTATATATGAAAAATACAATGTTTAATAAAATACAAAAAGTGTAAAAATTCTTTACATTTGACAAGGAATATCTTTTGACGCCCAAGGAGTCACAGTTTCGGACACATGGTATTGTTTCAGGATACTTTCTTCTATGTATAACTCTGTAAAAGTTACATACCAAGACGAACTGGATTACGAATTACTACGGTCTAAAGATATCAGCGTAATGTTATTTACTTTAAGGTTAGAGCTATTGAAGATAATCTCTCAGTGTTCCAATCGGTATTACAGAACGCTTCTTTATCTCTGTAAATTATTCCATAATTTAAATTAATTATTCCATATAACATAAAATATATAAGTAAACGAAACAAACTAAACCTGCTAAAATTCGCAGGCATATTGGCTTAAAAGTCGGTACTCTTATGGCACGGCGGAGATTAATACCGTGTCACGACTGTACCTGCAACACCTCTTTTAGCTACTAATAAAACAATTAAAGACATATAATCCAGTGTCATCGTTCAAAATACTATAAATGCTTATACGTTTACACGCTTATAGTTTTACAAAAAACGTTACTCAAAAATGCTAGAGAAACAGATTGTATATTTCGAATTAATTAAGTCCTGAAGCTGCAGATTTATTGAAACAATAACAAAATGGTAAGATTAATTATCATACTCTACATTTTATTAAAAGTTCGAACTGTTGAAATTTACCAACTACATACAATGCATACAGAAACCTTTTTCTGGGACGCGTACTTTACTGCACCCACACTGGCTACGAGTGTACGCTAGTATTGTACGTTAGTAGTTCCAGGTACGGTAGTATTGTAATGTTATAAATAGTTGGTAACATTATATTTAAACAATTTTTTTCCACAAAAACTGTCAATGAAAATTAATTAAAAATTATCACCCGAGCCTCCGAGAAACCCATTTACCATAGCAAAAATGCTAATCGTTAATTGGTGCGCACTTCGGCCACCAAATCAGTATAAAAGGCGACTAAAAAAAAATGTGCGAGCTTGACTATCAACGGTCATTGAGATTGGTCTTCTTGCTCACACCGAAAGTGATCTAAACTATATCATGTTTGGTCTCATTTTAATCAGAAAACTATGAGCAATATGTTAAAAAAAAATCAGTATTAAAATGTTAAAATTAAAAAAAGTTATATCATTGTATTATGAGTTGTCTTCCGGGAATTCGAGTCAAAGGAGCTGCGACGCGTGTCGCAGCACACGTGTTGTAGCACATTGTTGTACATGACGTAGTGAGAAAATCGATAAATTACAGGGTTGTAGCAATATCACGGCGTCAGTGAGGGTAGATCAAAACTACGTCATTTGGAGAGACATTACTGCATATATTTCCTGCTTATGTGAGAGTTATTATTCTATTGTGTCCTACAGTTCACAGTACATAGTTTTAGCACTGCTTACATACGGATTTGGCTAGGATTGGGTAAGTGAAATGACTGAGAGGGCCGACTGTAAGGTGAGCTCGACCATACATGCAAAAATCCATGCAAAGTGCAGAACATTGCATATATTGATGAACCGTTCTGGCGCTAGCCCTCTTCTACCCTAGTGCCTTCATAAACACGAACCAACCACCACATTATCTTACCCGACGATCGACAAGGGCCCACGGTCGAGGCCTTGATTTCTTGGCAGTGAAACGTCGACTCCCGAACGAACGCGTCCAATAAATGATTATCCGCGAACGAGTCTCAGTGATCTATCGTAATATCCACGAGTGTTTCGGATTATCAGTGATTAATTAAGTGATCAATGTTTGGTGACAGTGAAGTGTAAGTAAATTTCGTAATCGACCTGAGATCAGCTGTACGTTGTACGAGGTCAGTGCGTAATTCTGTTCGGACACGGAATTATTTAAATTAAAATATCATTTACGAACTTTGTTAATCCTCACTGTACACCTTGTATAAAAATTTCATATGGTGTCATGCACGTCAGAAAATTAAAACGGCTGTCACGGCTAAACTACATATTATTTCGGGTCCAAAAAATTAGTAAATTATTCTTTAGATATTCTGAAATAAGGATAAATTGCGTTTTTCTTAAAATTATCACATTGTGTCTTGTTCATTGATTCGAACGCAGCACAGAGTCCCCATCTTTTATTGCACTCCACGGCCGAAGCACGTTTAATCGATAGATCGACCATGTTGTAATTCGCGCCCTCGCCTCTCATTGGTCAGTGTTTTTCGTTAATAACTCGTAAACGAAGCCGCGGATTGCATTTTCGCAAAGGAAAAAGTTACTTCAAATGACCTCAGCTACCCCTCATTTTCGGCTGTTAAAATAATTGTGGAATACGCTGTATATTCTTCGATTGACTAGATTCCAACTCGTGAAACATGGTTAGAGACGGCAATGTTCTACGCAAGACATTGGCATACTATCGAAGAAGCAACTATCTTTCATATTGTTTCATTTAGATAATTAAGATTAACTGCATCATTAATTCTTTACAGAATAATCAAGTCATCATTTATTCTTAGGTTGTTAAAATCTTTAAATAAAAAGACGCAGTGTGTATTAAAGCAACACAAGAGATTTTCAAGGATGAGAATGAAGAACATTTACGGTTTACAAATTAATGTTATCTGGTAAAAGACACCAATTCACAAACAAGATTATAGAAAAAATAATTGTAATACATTGTAATGCAAAGTACAGAAAATAGTAACAAGTACAATAGCAGTAGTAGCAGCAGTAAGTAGTAGTAAATAGCGTAGATAATAAAACAATTTGTATATAGTTTTCATATTTTTTGCGTATATTTTAAATACATTTTATATTTTAAATACGTAATATACAGGGCGTCCCATAAATCCGAAAGGGGTGATCCTTGAGGTCATTTGTAGTAACTTTTTCCTTAGCGCAAATGCTATCCGCGATTTCGTTTACGAGTTATTAATAAAAAACACTGATCAATATGAGATGAGATCAGCTGGCGCGAGCGGAATTGCGATGCGACTATGAGGCGCGGTGGCAGGAAGGTCGTACGCTCTAGGCTTCGTGTCACACTCAAACATGAATAAGCCGGCATACGTGAAACTGTCCATATTTTTTTACTACGTATAAGTGATTATTTTAAGAAAAACGCTGTTGATTATGATTTTAGAATGTCTGAAGAATATTTAGTAATTTTGCGGACCCGAAATAATAAGTAGTTTAACTGTGACAGCCGTTTTAATTTTCTAATGTGTATTACGTCCCAGGTGTAACAAAGTAATTTTTATACGGAGGACACAGCGAATATTAAGAATGAGTAACCCCGTCAAAGTACGTAACAAATATTTTAGTTTAAATAATTCTGCATCCGAACAGAATTCCTCGAATGATTTGCAAAGTAATTTTATTGATAAATAAAAGGATATTAAAGGACGTAAAGGATTTGTTTGAGAGATGTAAAAACTATCATTAATAAGAAACTCACTCATTTAGCTGCGTACGATATTCACTCGTTGCAGCATATAATTCAATAAACCACTATCGTTATTCGCTACGAAAAAAGTATGTTGAAGCAATGAAGAAGCAGGAACCTTCCGAACTCATACAGCGACACACAAAATTGTTTAAAACTTTTGACATTCATGAAGTTTTAAGAAGTTATTTTTTTTAAAGGTTTTAAAGGTTTCATGGTTACAGTGTATTGAGACAGCCGCCATATGTGTGTCACCTCACCAGATAAAATTAGTTTGAGCAGAGGTGAAAACATACGTGAAAAAAATGTTACTTCAGAGATATTGTACAATGAATTGGAAGCATTACTACGCCATACAATAAACGAAATGACACCGAATGATTGAGAATATTGGACGAAAGATTGAATATTAGAAGAGACAATGGCAAACCCAAGACTGAAAATACAGTCATTTTTCCCGGAAATGCCAAATTTCGGGTTGCTGTGAATTTCCCTGTGCTAGTCCTACGCCTATGTAATTTATTGCTATGTCGATGCTATGGGTAGACAGAGTCAGTCAAGCGTGAGATGCGGTACGCAACGCGAATTTCTGGAAGACAATGCAAAATGGTCTGTTTGGGTGTGATTCAGGTAAGAAAAACTGCGGAACTATAAGGTACGTAGTAGGTACTAAGTACGTGTTCGTCGAATCGTAGCATGTGGCCTCTGAATTGTCTCCGAATTCAGGCATATGGCCTTCGAATTTCCGTCGAATATAAGCCCGAATAGCATAACTCCACTGATATTTTCTTGTGAACGTCATATATACTTTTTTTGACGATGCGTTGAATATTTTTCTAATGCTTTTTTTGTTATAATTACAATTTATATATAGCCTAAAACATGTCGTGTTTGGTCTCATTTTAATAGGAAGAAACTGACCAGTATATTAAAAAAACTACCATCTATAAAAAACTAGAAATAAAAAAGTTAAGGCATTCTTTTTATTTTAGCATTATTGTGAATTTGTATTCATGTATACCGGCATGTTGGTCACTGCTTTTTTAGCCCCCCCCCCCCTCACACACACACACACACACACACACACACACACACACACACGCACGCACGCACGCCCGCACGCACGCACGCACGCACACGCGCGCGCACGAAGAGTCGACAACTAAACAAACGAGCTGCGAGACTCGAAGAATCGTGTCCGAATGTCCGCCGATTTCCGTTTCCAATTTCGAGCACGTTCCTTCTAGGGAGAAAAAAGAAATTGTACCTGGTGAGCCGTTACAGAGTCCGAAAAGTTTTATTACTTTATGATTAGCAAATTCTAGCAATATCGATTTCGACAGACCCACCGAAGCTACTGGTAAAAATACAGTTATAAATTACGCCATTTACGATCGTAAACGACATATCCCCGACCTATTAAAAAAAGCAACATTTTTCCACCACATTCCACCCTTAACCAATGACGCAACAATCGTGCTGACGATGGACAGAACATGATAAGAGATGAACAGAATTCAAACTGACGACATCTTTAATTACACTGTCCGACACGATTTTTGATTTCCTATAGTCACTATGAAATTGTTGTAGAGTTTCACTCCCCGAACAAGGATCCAAAAACCGAATTGCTCTATCACCCTCAGTTTTCGAAAAAAACGAACTATTGTAAAAACTCAAAAATTTCGACAAAAATGAGGTATTGCATGAAGAGTACAAACGCCAAAAAGTTCTAATTGGTCTCAAAAGGTAGAGGAAAGTTTTCCGAATATAGTGATATACAATTTATTATTTGTTTTTT